GGCCATAGATTTCCACTGTGTTGACAAGTATAGCTCTAACCTTATGCTATTCTGTAACTGTACACTGTTATGGTACACACATACTATAATTTCTACAGGTCTATGCTGCTTGGTGAAGAGTACTTCATATAGACATAAACAGTTTTCATGAAGAAATAACAGCAATTTCTACTCCATCTTTACTTCATGAGAATTTGTTTTGTGTCCTCATCAATACTCTGTATTCTTTTGGTTGTTGTTGTTTCTTACTGGAAATTTAAATCAGGGGCACACAGAGACAGGTCACACATAGATGCTTAGGGCTTTGCTAAATTTCTGAGGCTGGTTTTGAACTCAGGATTATCTTGCTTTAGCCTCCCAATCCAATGGGATTAGAGGTGTGTGTCATGGAAACTTGTTCTATTTATTTTTATATTGAAATATATATTACTTCTGAAAATAATTTATTCTTGATATTAAGAAAGCATAGAATATTATTTTTTCCCACAAATACCTCCCCTTTTTTGGAATAGATGTCATTTTTTTGGGGGGGGAGATGTCAGTAGTATCTGATGTATACTTTATTGTTTTCTAAATGCAAAGTTTATTATTATTATTATTATTATTAGTAGTAGTAGTAGTAGTAGTAGTAGTAGTAGTATGCTATGTATTAATTACAAAAGTTTATCTGTTTATATTATTATAAGGTATATACTCTTTTCTATAACTTCATAGTATACTTCAGTGTGTGTCAAAATGACCTGTTGAGGGTTGGGAGGGAAGGGAAGGGCTCATAGGGTTAGAAATGATAGTGGAGGGCTCGGATTGTGGCTTAGTGGTAGAGTGCTCACTTAGCATGGGTGGGACTTGGGTTCAATTCTCAGCACCCAAAAAAATAAAGGCATTGTGTTGTGTCCATCTCAAAAAAAAAAAAACTTTATAAAAAAAAGTGATGGTGGAATATGATGTATATTATATAAAGTACATGTATAAAGAAGTGAATTTGTGTAAATATACTTTGTATAAAACCAGACAAATAAAAAATTGTGCTCTGATGTGTAATAAGAATTGTAATGAATTCTGATGTCATATATAATTAAAAAGTAATTAAAAATAAAAAAGATGGCATTATGTTCTAATTGGAAATAAATACTACTCCTTTCAAAAATTGAAAAAAAAGGTCTATTGGTCAGTGATAAATTTTATAAAGTATAAAATGTATCCTGAATATTTGGTAATATATAAACTCAGATTTAGGTATTTATAGTGTTTTGGCAAAATTAAAAAAAAAAATTACTGTAGAGTTCATTTCTTACAGCATATACCCATAATTATATCAGATGCATTTGGTACATGTACATATATACTACCATTATATATAATTAATAAATGATTACTACATCTCACATTAACCACATTGATTTCAAATAAATTTGTCTTTTGAAAGCACCAATATATGACACTCTTTGGATATATATACTTGGTGTGTCTTCAGATTTGTCACTTTATGTATTATGTTCTTTTCTTTACTCTTCTGTTTGTAGAATTTCTTTTTCCAAATTATTGAGATTAGTGAATTTTAGGGATTTCAGTTTAATAGTGCAGTCTGTAGATTTTCTTTTTAACCTCAGCTAAAATACATCCCACTTTTTATAGGATTATTGTTATGTAAATGACTTCTAAAACCCTGCATCTATAACACCCTAACCTGACCTTACTCTGGACTATTGATATCTGAGTGGAGGGGATCTCAAAGTGATCCATGGAAAAGGCAGGATTGGTATGGGTCAGGATGTGAGATTGGTGGATGCTGAGTATGTAGTAGTCAATATTCATGAAATAGTATTGGTGGAGTAGATAGGGGAAGAGAACAAAAGTGCTGAGAAGGAAAGAGGGAAAGAATGACAAGCTCAAGGGTTCAGATCTAATAAGTCTAGTGGTGGATCAATGGTAGCATGAGGGTAAGGGGTAGTTTCTTTGGAGGCAGAAATAAGGTAGAAGCAAAAGAAGAAGGCAACTCTGTCACAGTCCCCAAAAGAAAGAGTCAGATGAATGGATTATGTGTTTATTTCTTCCCACCTTGGAGTGGAATTGATAATTCACAGAGTATGTTTAAGTAAGTAGTATAAAACGATTTCCAAGTAGCTTTACAAATTTTTGTGGCCACAATCAACATTTGAAAATTCCAGTCACATAAAATTTTTGTACTTTTTCATCTATTTTATTTATTTATTTATTCATTTATTCATTCATTCATTCATTCATTCATTCCATTTTTTTCATTCACTTTTGCTTTACTCTTATTTTGTATATTCCCCTGGTGAGTATTCAATGATACATACACACACACATACACACACACACACACAGAATTGTGTGTGTATATATATATATTCACGCTACCATTGTAGACTTGCAGCATCTGAACCCGTCTACTGTTCAAGTTTTTCTTCTTTTTTTTCATTGCTCTTTTTCTCCCTACCCCCATATCATCCAACATTATATATGTAATGCTCACTTCTATAACATTATATTCTAAAACATTAAAGTCAGCCAGCCTCAGCAACTTAGTGAGGCTGTAAGAAAATCAACAAAACCCTTTTTCTTTATAGAAAATTTTACTAAATACTGAGAGTGTTTCTTAGCAAAAAAAACATATCTGATTTCAATTTGTAATATGAGAGAGAGAGAGAGATCTTGCAAAAATAAAAAAAAAATAATCAGTGACACTCTTAGTGTCAAGGATGTGAATAATTTAAAATAGTGAGCTAGTTGGAAAACACATCTAGGTTATTAACTGCTGCTTTGGAAAGTTAGTCTGCTCTCCAACTTATAAAAGTGAGAGAGGAATTCTTTATTAAGTTGTGTATAAGGAAAAAAAGGAGGGCTGGGGATGTGGCTCAAGTGGTAGTGCGCTTGCCTGGCATGTGTGCGGGCCCGGTTAGATCCTCAGCACCACATACCAACAAAGATGTTGTGTCCGCCGAGAACTAAAAAATAAATATTAAAAATATTAAAAATTCTCTCTCTCTCTCTCTCTCTCTCTCTCTCTCTCTCTCTCCTCTCTCTAAAAAAAAAGAGTTTTGACACAGGTTTTAGTTGACACAAACTGGGTCAACTTTAGTGGGTGATTAGGGTTCTGCCAAGATGATAAATCCTTGAGTTATTTGGAATAATGTGATTTTATTTCGTCTTCATAAACAAAGATTGAGGTATAATATAAATCAGGCTTGGCTAAGGAAAAACATTTCAATGAAAAGTAAATGTATGAATAAACACATAAAACAATATTTAACAAAAAGTTAACATTCAGAATATTTATGCAATTATGTAATCACCAGTAATATAAAAACAATGACAACTAAAGAAAAAGTGAATTAATAAAAAACAAATAAATAATGTAATGAATGAATGAATTAATTAATGAATAACTAACAAGTACAAAGATGTAATGTGACTGGAATTGTCAAGGTCAGCTTGTAGCCATGAAAAAGTGTAAAGGTACATAGAAATGGTGTTTTACTACTTACTGAGACATACCCTATGAACTATAAATTCCACTCCTATGTGGGAAGAGTTGAACACAGAACTTATTCACCTGGCCCTCTCACTTGGGAACTGTGAAAAACATTATCTTTTTCTTTCCCCTCAAATTTTATTGCTGCTTCCAAGAACACTATCCTCTATATTCACGATATCATTGTAGACTTGTAGCATCTGAACCCATGTACTGTTCAAGTTTTTCTTCTTTTTTTTCATTGCTTTTTCTCCCTACCCCCATATCGTCCACCAATACTTATTTTGTATAGCAAAATCTACATACTCAGCAATCACAAGTCTTATATTTTACTATATCCATTTCCTACCTTGTGCATGACCACTTTGAGATCCCCTCCATCAAAACGTCAAGTCCAAAGTGATCAGAATCGGGGGTAAAATTTGCAGAATATTAAAGGTCAGTTACACAACAAGAAAGCTATAAAAAGTAGGCTTCATTTAACGATGAAAATAAAAATAAAATCTTTAGACTTCACTAGTTAAAATAAAGGATCCAAAATTTATGAGTCTCAATAATTTTTTGGGGGGGGAAGGGATATAAGGACATTGTTAATGAGTTTAAAGCTCAAACTGGTTTTTTTTTTTTTTT